TCGTCCCGCGCGGGCCGTGCCGCGGCCGTGCCGACCCGGAGGGGAAAAGCAGGAAAACGCAACCGAATTCAGCTTCCCGGGGCAGCCAGGGAGTTCTGCCCTCCGTCCGTGTGTGGGGCTGCCAAAGGGCTAAGGGCCAGGAGAGGGAGAAAAGGGAAGTGGCAAATACGCTCAAAATGGGGCAGTTGTTTCACCGCGTGGCAAAGAGTGCATCGAAAAGCCAAACAAATCCTGTGTGTTCTTCTGTGGGAACGTTAGTGGCGTTCCAAGCTCTTATCAGATATCCTAACCAGCAGAGTTACGGCTCTCCAAGGTGTTCCGAGTTCGTACTGCAGCTCTCCTGCTGCATCTACAGGAAGAGATTAAAAAAACATCCCCTGAAACATGTGCACTGCTGATAATTTGGAGCCTGGGTGTAATGGAGACCAGAGCGGGTGCAGGGGCCGGAGCAGACTTTACTTGCAGGGAAAGCGTGAAGGTGCCTGGAACAAGAAAGCCTTGGAGCAAGAATGTCCCAACACTGGTGCTAAATCCTCAGCTAAGAGGTTAGGGGCAGTCAGAGGCCTCTGCCTTCTCGGGATGACCGTGAGTCTCTTGAGTTTCTGTTTTCTAAAACCAGACGCCCTGTTGCCAAGCTTCACTCCGAGATTGGCTGGAAGCAACGAGTTACACTGGAGAGCGAAGGCCCACGTCAGTCCTGGCCGTGCAGGAGCAGCCGCTGCCCTCCCTGCCAGGCTGCTCCGAGCGGCAATTAGGCTGCCATCCTCAGATTGCAAACATCCCGTGAAAGGAAAACAGCAGTATTGTTTGGGGGCTGATTAGTAACACACGTCCCTAATCCCCCCTGGGTCCCGGGCCTTTGTGAGCTGCATTGTTTTCCCTGTGAACTGCGGTGCCAGAAGCCGTGGCAGGAAGCTGGGGCTTCCCTTCGCATTGTGTAAACAGGGGTGAGGAGGGGAAGGGGCCGCTGCTGCGGGGCCCGCTGCGGGGCCTGGCGCCGCCGC